CCTCTCCTTCCGCAGACCGTCGTCACCACTTCCACACACAAGCACTTCTCCGCAACCACCACCGCCACTACCGCCACCACCAGCACCACTACCACCACCACCACCATCACCACTACCACCATCGCTACTGCCACTGTCACGGCTACCATCGCCACTACCACCATCGTCACCACCATTACCACGGCCACCATCGCCACCACCGCTACCGCTACCATCGTCACCATTGCCAACGCTATAACCGTCGCTATAATCACCAGCACAATCATCACTACCACTACTACCACCATTGCCATCACGGCCATCATCACCACCATCGTTACCATCATTATCATCATTACCATTATTACCATCACCATCATCATCATTACCATCGCCACAAGCACCGCTATAATCATCGCTACTACCACCACCATGGTCACCGTCGCCGTCGTCGCCGCCACCGCCGCTGAGAGGGTGATAAGTCGTGACGTCGACGAGGTAGAGGTGATTTCGAAGCGTAGGCGTGGTCGCAGCATCCCAACCCCCGCCGCCGTCGTAGCGTGCGAGGGGACCCAGCGGGGGTTGGGAGGGTTTGAATCATGTGGGTAGGGTGCCGCGCGTCGTGCACGCTTCGCGTTGGCTGCCTCCGATTCTCCACCACCACGTGGCCGGCGCGCCGGCGGTGCGGTGGTGGACGCCGTTATAGAGGGTGGAAAATCGTGTAAGAAAAAGCCGCGGCGGCACCCTGCGCCCGACCTCATCGCCGGCCTTTCTCTTTCTCACTCTTTCTCCGTCTCTCCCTCTCTCTCCGTTCTTCCGTTCTTCCTCACTCTTTCTACCCCTTCTTTCCTCCGCATTCCACCCCCTTCGTTTCTCTCTCTCTCTCTCTCTCTCTCTCTCTCTCTCTCTTTCTCTCTCGCCCTCCCCCTTCCTCCCTTCCTCTCGCAACGCCCGTTTTCATCCCTCGCCGGTAATAGACGGCGGCTCTACTTAAGTACGGAGCACATCGTTGCGCCTTGTCGTCCTCACTTCCACCCTTTTCGCCGCCCTCTTACTCGCTCTTCCTTCCTCGCGCGCTTCGTTTCTACTTCTCGTTCTCCTCCTCGTCGTCGTCGTCGTCCACCCCCACTTCCACCCCCGCTCCCCTCGGTCTTTATTCCCGCGCGTTTAAAAGGGACGTATGTATGTATGGCCGCATGTACGCCGCTTTTATGTGGAATTCTCGGGGCGAGCATCGGGAGGAGACTTATCACGCGCGCTGTCAGGAACGCGCCGTCGTCCGTGTGCGAGGACGCTTCCGCGTGTGTGCGTGGGCGAGCGAGCGCGTGGACGCACGTCCGGTCGGCCGCACCGGCGTCGCTCGTTAATTTAATTAACCCTACGGACATTTCCGGCACGGACGCGCGGACAGCAACGTGCTTGCGCCGGCCACCGCGCCTTCCACGATAATGCGCACGCGGATGCGCCCACGCGGCGTCACTTTCGGCCGGAGCCACGTCGGGGGTGGCGAAATTACGCGCGTGGGCTGACGGCGACGTGGCGTCGTCGCTCTGTGACGACACACGGCGACCAGGCGCCGGCGTTTCGTCGCAAGGAGATTTCAGCGAGGCACCTTGACCCGACGAGAGTGTCGAGTAGAGTCGAGACTGAATTGACGGAGAATATTCAAATCGTTTTTCCTCCGTTAGACGTTTCGTCGGTGAACAATGAAGGGGAGGGGAAGACGAGCTTCGCATAACGATGGAGCAGCTAATTGTACGAAACGCTCTTCGCCGCTTTGGCAGCTCATCTTCTCATTACGTATCCAGTGAAGTACATGATTTATGAACGGGGCTTTCCTGCGGATAAAGCGAGAGGGAAATGTGTTAATATCCGTATCGTAATCTATCTCTCGCTGATATCTGAATGATTTCCGAAGATGATGTACATTTTTCTATTATGCGTTCCAGCCGGGAATATTTCCTTCGGGATATATATGTATGTGTTCAGGAGCACGCCATCGCATTTATTCTCTGAATACAAATTCCTTCGAGAACGACGAACTGATATAGTCGCTGCCCAAGCTCCACCCCTTATCTCTATATTGAACGCGACTTAACATTCAACAAGACATTTAATGACGCAGATAAAGAAATCATGAGAAGAAACGCGAGATCGGCGGAACCTTCGTCGTGAAATATCAGCGTGAAATTTTAAAATGTGTAGGCGGGGATGTGAGGGTCGCGACCCCATAACGCAAGAGGCGCGTCCACTCGCGTTTCTCCAATACACACGCCTCGTATAAAGCGAGCTTTTTACAATTCCCCGCCGGCTGAGCAGAAATGCGAAAGTAATTCTTTCTATCGCCACCCGGTAGTATCTGCAGTAATCGCTTCTATTTTTGTCGTATTAGCGCGCGCGTGTGACGCTAGTTGCATAATACTGCCGCGAACGACTTCATAATATCAATATCGTCATTATCTCGTGATTATCGCGCGATCCAGAGAAGCCGGTGCTATCGTGGACGTTCGCCAAGCCACCCCCGCTCCTCCTCGCCGGTTATTATTATTATCACCATTATTGTTATCATTATTATTATACCGGCGTGCTTAGGGCAAAAGGGGTGGGAAAACTGTGAAGCTCTCTTTCTCTCCGTCTTCTCTCCTTTCCTCTCTCTCTCTCTCTCTCTCTCTCTCTCTCTCTCTCTCTCTCTCTCTCTTTCTTTCTCATCGGCGATAATATAATTACCTACACCTACAAGAAAATTACATCGTACCCTCTCGCGTTGCCCCAAGTTCATGCACGAACACGATAATATGCGGGGGTGCGCGAGCGAGCCCGCCGCGCTGCCTCGCGCTCGCCGGTAGTAGTGCGAGATAATAAAGTTGATAAGAGTGTAGAGGGCTGCTCCGCAACCCCTACCCGCCGAAAGAGAGCAAACGGGGTAGTGTCGGCCGAGAGGGCAGGCTGTACGGCGGCGAGGGGGCGAAGGCACAAAGAGGGTGAAGGCGAGCGGCGATACGCGAGAAAGGGAGGGCGTGAGCGCGAGAGAGCGCGGAGGTGGCGGTCGAATGGGGGATGGGGTGCAAAGGGGTAAATGGGCGTGGCCGGCGTCTGGCGGCGAGGCAGACGATTGGACGGTCCGCGGGGCGGCTTCGTCAAATAAAATCCAATCGTTGGGACCAAAGGAATGCGAATCTCCAGGCTTTTTTCCTCCCTTGGTACCGCGCGAACCGCTTATCCTCCCTCCCTACTCACCTCTTCCGACTATCTGCAAGAGTGTGAGAGAGATAAGGGGAGGAAAGAGAAGGAGAAGTTTTCGTTGCACCTTCTACTCGTTCTCCATCTCTCCTCTCCTCTCCTTTCTCTCTCTCTCTCTCTCTCTCTCTCTCTCTTTCTCTCTCTCTCACTCTTTCTCTGTCTTTTCATCCCTCTCTGTCTCTCGCCGCCTTTCTCTTTTCCTTCGTCTCTCAAGGGGGTGCGCGCAGCGCCGTTTGATGGGAGTATGATTTTATTACGGCATTACCGAGCGAGCCAAACCCCGAATTGCTCGGCTTATAGTCCGTATTATCTCACCTAAGAGGGAAAGAAGGGGAGGTGGTGGTGGCGGTAGCGGGGCGGAGAGGCGGCGCGATGAACAAGGTGGTGGGCGCAAAAGTGAGTGAGTGAGTGAGTGAGTGAGAGAGAGAGAGAGGGAGAGAGCAAGAAAGAGAGAGTGATAGAGAGGATCTCGTCGTGCGGAGCAGCCACCCCTAGCGCGTTCCCTTCTTCGGCGGAAGGCCACTGCCTGTGCACGTAGGTACGTAACGTAACGTACGTACGTACCTACGTACGTAGATACGGGGTGGCGTTTCGAGGGCGCCGACGACGTCGGCCGACCAAGCCGTGCTGGGGTGGGGTGGGGTGCGCGGACGGCGGAACGGGTAGGGGCGGCAGAGAGGGAGGGGGGATGAGTAAGCCACCTATATGCCTTTGTGGGCCTTCATTCGAGGGTTGCATGCTCTCACGTTGCCGTTGCCACACTAACCCCCCTACCGTGCGTTCGGAAGGCACGCACGCACGTCAGTTGACATCCTGCTGCCGAAATCGCACGTCCTACTGTACCCACCACTGTCCTCGTCGGCGCGTGGACGTACGGACGACGAGCACGAGCACGACGACTACGACGTCGACGACGTTGACGACGAGGACGTGCCCCGCGAACGTTGCGTGCGGTGCGATCATGTGACATGCGGCGATCTCGCAGGAAGAATTTCTCCCGCGAAGAGGCGGTTTCATCGCGGGCAAGAAAGGGGGACGAGCACGTGGGAGTCCGGTCGTAGTTCGGGGTTACGATACGTTCCACGCCACGTCGACGTGCCGTGGCGTCCGGTCGTCAGTGACGTCGAAGCGATCGAGCGCGGTCGTCTCCACGGCCGAAACAAGATAAAGAGAGACAGAGAGAGAGAGAGAGAGAGAGGCAGGAAAATAAAGAGAGAGGACGAGAGGGAAAGAGAGAGGCGACCCGCCGATCTTCAGCCGATGAGTCCCGCGCGAGTCGAGGGAGACACCGGGGTGCGATCAGTGCAGTTTTGGACAGTAGTTCCGAATGATAGACGATAGTGGTGAATGACAGCTAGAACCGAGTAATTGGGCGACTGACGAGAAGTGGCCACACACGTGCCGAACGTTCCCGACGACCTTGACTCACTCGCGGAAATGTGACTTCCGAAACGACCAGCCAGCTGTACGAGCGAATCCTAAATGGAACGTACGTGACGACCTTGTCAAGCGGTGAGCACTCTCGAGTAACAGCGATGAGCGCGATAATGTCCCCTCCGCTGATGTCACGAGGAGGGTATCGGCAGAATCGTGCGCGCTAGTTCCAATCGTGTCTTCACGATCGCATCGGTACTCGGTAGACGTTTCAAGGATATAGTTGAACCCGATCGCGACGGTCGTGAAGCTGTCCTCTGTTAGGATTCGTTTCTCTTGCCGCTTTGAGGATCCGTCTGGCGAGGCGCCGAGCAGTCGTGACAGTCCGCGGGCCAAGCAGCCGTGCTATGTTCCCCTCGTCAGCGGCGATGCTGAAGAATCTGCAGCAGAGTGCAATGACCTCGCCCTTCCTGATGGAGAACTTGCTCCAGAGCAAGGCGTCGCCGGGTGCGGACCTCACCAGCCTGACCTTGAACTGGGCGGCGAGTTTAGTGGCGCGACAGCGCGAGAGAGAGTGCGAGGCGAGCCTGAGGATCGCGCGGGAACGTTCGTCGCCGAATGAGCTCGCGTCCTCGCAAGAACAGCACCAGCAACACTTGGAGCAGCGATCGTCCGGCGCGATCGGCTCGCGCGACCGCTCGTCGGCGATGATGATCGACTGCGGTCGCGACCAACAGCAGAGGTCGTCTGGCGCCGTCGTCAGCGGTAGATCCGCCGCTGAGCGGCTCCAGCACGACCGGATGCAGCTGCTGCAGCAGCAACAGCAGCAGCAGCAGCAGCAGCAGCAGCAGCAACGCGCCGACAAAGAGACTCTGGAGCGCAGCCAAGGCGTTTACGTGGACGTGGAGAACGAGAGGCTCGAGGGCCACGTAGTGGTCGACCGGCTGTGCGCGATGGAGAGGCTCTGCAACGAGAGGATCGACAATCGGTCCAACTCCGGCGTGGAGTCGTGCAACTCGAACGTCGACGAGGACCCGATGCCGGGCGAGCTGGAGGCCGGCCTTCCAGCCGAGAGGGATGAGCTGGTGCTGGGCGAGCGGGTCTCCGCGATCGAGATAGACAGACGGTACGACCTTGGATGCAGAAACGTCATGCACACGTCCGACGAGATGACGATCACCGGGGAGAGGGAGACGGCGGCGGTGGCAGCGGCGGCGGCAGCGGCGGCGGCGGCGGCGGTCGAGCGTGCCGTCGACAGAATAGGCGAGAGGACCGTCGCCGCTTGCTCCTGCGGCGACGAGCAGTGCTCAGGACCTGCCTGCAGGACCATCCAGGAGAAGGAGAAGCCGCAGCTCAAGTTCAGCGTGAGCGCCATACTCGGCGGCAATCACGACAGGAGGCCGCATCCCGGTAATTCATTTCATCCCATGAAAGAAAGAGAGGGAGAGAGCGAGACAGTCTTACCTCGACGGTCGCCATCGGCCGTTGTCGCTCGCGACTTCCGCTTGTAGTCCCGACCGAGTCGGGAAGCACAGAGCTTCCGCTACTCGCATACTCCTGCGTGCTTCTTCCCACGTCTTTTCCCGACTCTAATGACGGAGTCGATTGCATTCGCGCGAAGAATAAGTAACCTTAACACGTTCGCCCCGCTTCCATACTTGTGAGACGCACGTGAGAAGCCGACGTCACATATACGCGACAGAGATAATTTTCTCCTTCCGAGTCCACGTAAACAAATGAAGAGTCGATTTTCACACTGTTAAATAAGAAGGATACAGTTGATCCGCGACAGACTTCTTTTTCCTCGTCCTTCTTGCGTCACACTCGTGGGACGCAGCGATCACTCACGAGACGTCGACGTCACATATGCGCGTTCATCCCAAGTTCGTATAAACAAATGAAGAGTACGTCTTCCACTACGTACTACGTAGGAAAGAGACTTCTTCTTTTTCCTCTTCGTCTTCTTATGTATGGCTGTGAGGCGGCCGGCGGAGTTTCCTCCTGACACCCAAATCTGTACTGGACGGTTTCCCGGGTGATCGGCGGTAGCGAACGTGTTAAACCTGGCCGGGCGAAGCTGCTTGCACTCAAATTTCCTTCTTATTAGACGATAGCTTCGTGTTTATCGAGAGGATATATTCGGTCCGGGGTAACGAGGGCAAATAAATATTCGATCGGGGCGATTACGATTACTCGTGTTCGCGGACTCGTGTTCACGCTCGTTCGGAAAGACGTTCGGGAAGAGTCTGACGCGGCGATCGGCCGGCGTTTGCAGAGAGTGTTGAAACAAAGCTCACCACAAATCAGTGTCGCGAGCAGACTTCTGTCGCCGGTCCCTAAATCTCATCCGCACACCCTCAAGACGAGTCGCAGCGTGCGTGCGGGGTGGAGCACAGGGCGTCAGCTGGCCCGCCACTTACCTTCACCCCAATATTAAGCCCTTACGATTGGTGCCTATAATATTAGACAAGCGGCAGGATTCAATGATGTATTGCCGCAACGCTTATCGCGTTTCCTCATTCGCCGATTTCCCCAATATGGACCGTCCTGTTTGTTCCCCGCGCGCTCGTCGCAGAAATCTCAAGAATTGATACGAGGCTTCGACCTCGGAAAGCGCGGCTCTCGACAATCATGATTTTACCCGTCAATGCATACCGGCAGAAACAGAAACTGTTCATTTTGTTACAAGTTACAGTCATTCTGGACGACAAATATATTCCGGTCGTTCCAACAAAAAAGTATTCCACAAACATTGAACCAGTATTGATACGAGAACGTAGCGTTTTTAAGTACAGATAAAACGATATCCTGCGGTAAAAAAAAAAACATCCGAACCAATCTAACAGTATAATTTATATACTGTATCGTTATTGCTATATACTCAAAGTCTGGGCAGTTTTTCGGACGACTTCGGCGAACTAGAACTTTTTCGTACGTGTCAAAGGGTAGATTGATAAAAAAGATGAAGTCCCCACGGCGCCATTACATCAGCTTCCCGAATTGCTACGGGGGTTAATAACATTACAGTAATATTTGACACACGAACAGATCTCTCGACGATGATTTCATGATGCAATAACAGTCACAAATATCTATCTCTTCTCTCCCATTGCACGCATCCGATGCAACAATGGTGCGAGAAAGACGGGAGAGATCCACTAACGCTAACGAGGCGGAGTAACACGCTAATGACGCGATGAGAGAGAAAGACGTAAACGCAACGCGTTTACGTTCTCGTGACGTTCTTGTCGCGCGCGAATTCTGAATTACGCGGAGTTAATTGTACGATTTACGACACGGCGCGCGGCCGTCGTCGTAACATCGCGGCGATAAAATTAACAGCCATCGCGTCTGCAACCCGCATTTACAACGCGAATCATCACGCGGCGAGGCGCGCGTTCGCGTCTCTCAGGTGTGAAGTTTCACGGAAGAATCGAAGAGAGAGGGAGAGAGGGAGTGAGAAAGGGAGAGAGAGTTCCTTTCCATCTTCACCGCGGGACCGCGAGAAAAATCATGCGCCGTACCCTCGGTCGTGCCCCTTCGCGCGGTGGTTACAATACCGTCCCGTCATCGACAGGGACCTGAAACATTCGCCGGAGGGTCACGCGCGGGTCCGACGGCGGCGACGGCGGCGGCGGCGGTGGCGGCGACGGCGGCGGCGGCGGCGACGGCGACGGCGACGGCGGCAGACCCTCGGCACACGCATACCACATACGGCCGGTGTGGCCGACCAATCTTCGGCCGGCGTGTCCTCATTGTCACTCTTTCCTCGATGCCGACCCCCGCGCGAATGATTGACACGAGTCGATAAAGACCGTGTGCGCGCGCGATAAACGCGTAGACGCACTAGATGCATAAACTGTACACAACCTGACCGTCGCGCGCGAGCGGGGCCCGGGGAGGAGAAGGTAGGGGTGGAGGAGGAGGGAGGAGGGCGAGGGTATGAAGAGTGGAGAGAGGCGAATGTTGCATTTAACATCGGCGAATTGCACGCATCTGCCGGCAAGAGGAGGATACGCGGGGGTGGAAAAGGGGTCATCGCGGGGTAGGAGGAGGCAGGAGGCCGAGGAGGACGAAGGGGGGCCTCGAGGGGTGGCGATGGGGAAATTCGGTGCGTTCGAGATACGGGGCGGCCGAAGGGGGGCCAGAGGGGGGCCAGGTTTCATGCGTTTGTCGGATAGCGGATGCATTGACCGTGCCACGTGCATGTGTTACATCCCCCTTGTCCCTCGCACGTAGAGACCGCACCCCTCTTCTTCCCTCCTTCCCTCTCTTCCACCCTCTCTCACTCTCTCTCTCTCTCTCTCTCTCTCGCTCACTCTCTAACCCCTCATCGCCGACCTCTCACCGCGAATAGACCCTCCAGCATCCACGAGCGCGGCACCGTCCTCCCACTGTCCACCCCTTCCTGCTCCCTCGCCGCCGCTTCCACCCCTGCCCCTCAACATGTCCCGGTAACCACCCCTCTTCCCCCCCCCCGCGGGCTTGTACGTCATGTCGAAATGTTGTGAAATAATTGCGCGAAAAAGTGATTGGCAACAAACTCGAAATTCATCGACGAGAAACGCGAAGGCCGCTCGCGGCAGGATGGGAATTTGCGGGGGCGTGAGGGACCGGACAGGGGAGGGATGCTCGGCGCTGCGAGGGATGATCCAGCGCGGGGGTAGTAAAAGGGGGGGAGAGGGAAGGCTCGCGGTGTCTGACGGGCGAGCGACGTTGAATTTCGAATAGCATTTTCACCAATCGTCCCGCGATTTACCGCGACCTCTCTCGCTCCCCGTCTCACGCTCGCTCGCTCCCTCCCTCCCGCCCTCCCGCCTATCCCTTTTCCATGCAAGCCGTCTCTCGCGGCTCATGTTTTTTGTTGCGTATCACGATTATTGATATTTTTCGATATCGACTACGTGTGTGTCGAGCACGGTGGACCGCGTTTTAATACGCGGCCAAGCGTGTTCGCCGAAGAGAGAGATAGAAAGTGGGGGGAGAGACACGGAGAGAAAGACGCATTTCGCTGTAGCTGCTAAGAAACCGCGAGAGGATCTTCTCCTCTTGGAAGAAAGAGAAAAGATAGTCGACTCTCGCGAAGACCGTTGCGGTCGAACAGACGTGTCAATGAGTTCGTTGTTTTCAGCTCAACTAGCTCGCTCTTTTTGCCTCTAGAGCGTGATAAGTACATAACTTAGAATTGATACGAAAAGGAACAGAGTTCCAACGAAGCGCCAGCTTCAACGGAAGAAGAAAACAGATTTACGCTGCAAATCCAAGTACGTTATTTTCAAATGCGCGAACGTCTGAAAGTAACACGCTTGATTAAAGCTCGTCTTGCTCTCATTTCGTGCCACTTTAAATCGCATAAGTCACTTAACACGTATTCGAACGTATTCACTTACAAGCTGATACGTTCAAACGCATCAAGCGACGCGATTTAAAGCCGCGGGAAATGCGTAGAAAGAACTTCTGTCGGAGTAACGCGCTTAAATTTGAAATGTTTACAGCTGCGTTCAGCGGAGAAGGCACTTCGCAACTGTTGCAACATTCGCGATTCTGATCTTGGTGAAATCGAGATTTTGGAGTTAAGAGCACGTATCACGAATCTCCGCGGAGTCACGCGAAATTTTCCGGCATGTACAAAGCCGTGTTATCCGCTGGACGCAGCCTTTCGCGCATTCTGCGCGGTGAGAGAGTCACGAGATTGCAACTTGTGCTCTACGAGAGCGGGGCGAAACGTTCCCCATCACTGGATCGTGTTAATATCGCGTCCTTCGCAGCCGATCAACCGGTCCAACAATCCAGAATAACGCTGCGGATCCTCGTGAAGAATCGGTTCGCGTTGCTTCCTAAGACAAACACGCTCCGTACCCCCGGAGGAACCAAGCATGCGTGCTGCCCCATAAACGAGCGGTGCCCCCGCATCCCCCTTATCGCCCTCTTCCGCCCCTATTCACAAGGAGGAGACCTGCGGTGGTATCTAGTTAATAATGCATCCGTGGCCGTAATCCGAAAGAATAACCGGCGATATATGTTGTAAGCACGGCCGCAAGAGGGGCACGTTTAAGCTCGGCGCGCACACACGAGGAAAAAAGGAGGAGAGGAACGGACGAGGCTATAGGGGCCCCACAACAACTGTAACAACACGCGAGCTGGAGTTTCTGGATACCACAGACGGGAGAGTTTAATCTCACGTGACGCGCGAGAGGAAGGGTAGCGCGGCCTAAGGGGCACAGATAGATAGACGTGGGCTGGAAAAGGGCGGGAGGGGAGGGGAGACAGAAACAGACAGATAGATAGACAAACAGATAGAGGGAGAAAGAAAGAGAGATCGAAGGGCCTGACTGTGTCGGGTAGGTGGGGCGGCTTAAAAAACTATTCCCATTCAGTGTTTCCGTTGGAGGTTTAAGCCCGTTATTAGCCGGCCGCGGCTAAGCAGCGCGCTTCTCTCATTGGCCGGCTACGAAAACAACGATAAAAGGCGATGAGTATTTTATGGGGTACAGTGCTGCACAATGGGACGCCGTGTATGGGCCATTGTCAGGGCATTGTCTGGCCGAAGGCTCGCAAGGCGAGCCCTCTCTTTCTCTCCAGCTCTCTCTCTCTCTCTCTCTCTCTCTCTCTCTCTCTCTCTCTCTCTCTCTCTCTCTCTCTCTCTCTCTCTCTCTCTCTCTCTCTCTTTCTCTCTCTCTCTGTGTCTCTCTGTCTCTTTCTTGTTCTTCCTCTCTCTCTTTCTCGCTCCCCCCCCCTCTCTCTCCATCTCTTTCTCTCTTGCATTCTCCACTTCGAACCGGCCTCGAGCCTCCATTATTTTATTATTTTCAAACACGTCACTTTTTTAGCGAGGTTGCGCTCTTCCTCTCTCCTCCCTCCATCTCTCTCTCTTTCTCTCTGGGCGTGGCGGTGCGCGACTGCAAAAAAACATGTTGGAAATCGCAGCGGGGCGACCGGCCCTCTTAGGCGTTATTAATGTGGATGGGTGGACGAGTTTGCCGGCGGAGGGTGACCTCTCGTCGGGGTCAAAGAGCCGCGCGGAGAGTCCGAATTTTCTTTCATGCTCGGCTCCGCCGGGCTGTGTACCCTCTGCTGTACCGCGGCACGGAGGGTACGCGTCAGCGCACGCAGTTAACTTCCTTCCGCGCCGTATTCTCAATAAATCTTTCCAACAGGGGATGAGGGTGGGGGGATGTATCGGTATCCGAGGGATGACGGGGCAAGAAGTGCCGTCGCGAGACGATGAGAAATCTCAACGCGGACGCCATTCACCGGCCGGTCTTATTGAACCACTTCGTGGTTTAATCTCGAGCGAACTTTACCTCGATGAGGCGCTTATTCGACCCGCACACCTCTATGTTCGCAGATCGGAAAGTCCGGAAAAATTGCCGGCGACCGGACTCGCGAGTCCGGCCACCGCTGAGGTGGCATTGCTCTCGAGAATTCTTCAACAAATCCCAAAATGCGTGAAAAATACACTCGCGACGGACATTTTGTTTTCTATACGGAGAAGAATTCCATTAGTGTGGCTGAATTTTCCGTTGCTTAGGGAAAATACGCGGAAAAAAGCATCATTCTACTGCTGAAAGAAGCAGTTGACTTTCTTTTAAGTAATGGTTGTCTTCGAAAAGGAATATTTTCTAGGCAGCAGTCCTCAAGTATACTCATCTGAAATTTTAGAAAAGCTTCTCTTTTCAAAAATATTATAAATGTATTATAAATGTATAAGAAGCAGGTTTTTATTCTTGATTCAGTATTCTTGATTGAAATATCAAGTATTGGAATATACAGAATGAATTTTACGTAAATTTTATGCTTGTAATGAACTCATGATAAACTTGTGGACATATAATATACTTGTGACATTTATACTATGTATGTATTTTTTTCCGTGTGTAAAAGCTAAACTGAAGATTGGGTCGTAGAATTAGGAAGATTCTTCCTGTAGAAATGTTCTAAACAGTTAATTGTTTTCAATTAATCAAGTTTTAATACACCCGAATATACGTACAGACGTTTACGCCGCCGTACTAATAAATCCATTCTCGTCACCAAATTTCGACTCGTCCCTTACACGTCGATTATACGAGCTGAAATCTTTCCCCCGCACCATCATCAGCATATACTGACGTTAATCCGACGAGAATCCGCGAGAAGTTATCCCTCCGACTTCATCGTCTTCGTTAAACCTTTGAGCGATGAACCGCTCTCTGTGTGGCCGGATTCCAGCAAGATCATCGAACGTTTCGTTTGCCACTGGCGGAAGCAACCGGAACGGAAATAAATCAGCGTGCTAAGCTCATAGCCGAAACTGTTGCCGACAAACCAAGTGAACGTGTAAATGAGAGGCCTCGAAAATTCCGGTGGTTTACCCCGAGCGCCCACAGCGTTCAAAGGAGTGAAAGAATACAATTTTTCGCCGCGACTCAAGGCGAAACCGCTCCATGAACGAAATCATGAACGAACGCAATATGCTGTCGCGATCGTGTCTTGTAAAGTGTCGTCTGCAATGGCAATAAGCAATAAGAAGTAAGCGTGAACAGTAAGAAATGGACCAACCACAGTTGATTATTTTTGTCGTAATCGACTGTGATTGGTTTATTTCTTACCGCTTACGCTTACTTCTTACTGCTTACTGCCATTGTAGACGACGCTTAACACTCGACGACGCACACACGAATCAAGGTATCTCACCCCCGTTGCTCCTCCGGCGTGAGGCAGTCGGTCGCACGGATGTCTGGCTATTTACCTCCACGACGGAGGTGTTGAAGCGTGCGCCAACAAGAGATCTGGCTCCGCCTGGAGCAGTTAAGGAGGGTCTCTCTCTTTCTCTCTCTCTTTCTCTCTCTCTCTCTTTCTCTCCCTCTCTCTCTCCCTCTCTCTCGGCCGGGAGTGTCGGGTCGAATTATGCAACATGAGGAATACGACGACGACGACGACGACGACTTAGATACTCGCTCGCACGTAAATCCCGCCGCCCCGGGAGTTAGGCACATTTCGCCATGAAACAACCCCGTGTTCCATATTTAATCGACGCGGTTGGTTTACGTTCTTCGTATAGTCGAGTGCGCGTTCGCGCGCGCAGCCTCAAAACTTCCATAAAACGTTGTCCGATCCTCGCATGACTTAGTATGAATATTTGACGAGGTGCGACAACGGACGGCGTGGATCGTCTCGACGACGTGGAAGCGCGGCATTCGTCGCGTATATGAGGTGTCATTCTTGTGCTTTTAAGCGAAACATGTGAAATTGAATCAGCTGCGATCAAAAACAGTTCAGAACTAGTGGCCACTCAACGAACTTGTTGTCTCTCCGTTTAAGCTCGCGTTAAGAGTTCTTACTTGAGGCTTGGCTAAAGTGGAGTACTTGGGTTTCAATTTAAAATTATACTTGTAAAATTTTTCAGTTGAGTCGTAATCACGAGTGTAATGTTACGTACGTTGGCCTGTTCTTTTTCGAAAAGCTAGTGCACACTTTTGGAATTTAACGAGAAACAAGTATACAATTGAGACTTGGGAAAAAGAGAAAAGAAGAACTGGCGTGAAGTAATACGGCAGGAAAGAGCAGATAATTTAAATTAAATTTTTAAATATAATTTTAAGTACAAATCTCGCGTAAATCAAATTTTAAATAGCGACTATTAGTTATTACTATTAATCATTATTATTAATACACGTTTTGTTTAAAAGAAGAATATGATCTTAGAACGCATGTCCGCCGGCTCTATATCACATATCTCGAGTTTATATTCATTTTCGAATCCGTTCAAGGACGAAATTCCGTTTCACCTGTTCGCCGAAAGGACACATCATGAAATTTTCGCGACATTAGACGGAAGCACGGACGCGGTGGAGCAGAAGTAACCGCTTCTCAATCGCGTCTCTCGACGTATAATGTGTGTTTTATCTGCGCAGACAATTTTCAAGGACTCCCGCCGGAAGCGATACCCGCCTTCCTGCAAAACCTGCAGAACTCGGCGGGCTACAATATCGCCAAGCCGATCGCGAGGCCGGCGGCTTATCACCCCTATCACAGGCCGAGCCATCAGCCACCTCAGCGACACTTGCCGCCGAACGCCCATCACACGCTGCAACAACTGTTCTACAGAGGTCCATACTTGACAGGTAAAGAAAAAAAAGAAAGAGATAGAGTGAGAGAAGGCAGGAGGGAAGGAGGAAAAAAGAACAGAGAAAGAAAGAGAAACCCGTGGACGGTGTTACTCTTCGTACACGATATAGTGCGGCGCGACGTACGCATATATCTCGCGGAATCGGTAGGCAGTGTATTTCGTTTCTCTCTCTCTCTCTCTCTCTCTCTCTCTCTCTCTCTCTCTCTCTCTCTCTCTCTCTGTGTATGTTTTTTTCGTTTGCGAGCCTCACGCACACTCGTTATTTCGTCGTGGACGCGCGCGATACTCCACGTGCAGTTAATAAACAAGCGCGAACGCGACGCGGAAACACGGTCCCGATGAACATTTAAAACCGAAACTTCCGCATATGGCGCCAGCGCGCGACGGCGGCGGCGGCGGCGGCGGCGGCGGCGGCGGCGGCAGCGGCGGCGGCGGTGGTCCACGTGCGCGCGCGGGCACACACGCGGGTTTATCGAATATCTTGTTATAGGTAGGCTCGTATGGGACATGGAGTGCATATGAAGTGCAGTGAAAGCACTAGCATATTATGTACATGCTCCGCCACAAGGCAAAATGCACGCATGCAACAAGTGCGTGCAAATATCATCGGTGCAGATAATACCATCATGCTCAGCTTGGCAATATCGCGCAGACACGATCTGGAGATTCAATTGCCCGTCTGTTATTAGATGACTTTGATACAATTGCGATCATGCCCGGGCAGTTCGCGCGCGAATAAACGCAAACGTTTATGCGACCATGCGTTTTTTTCCTCTCCGGTCGCTCCAGTCGCGCGCTGCTGCCTGCGTCTCGCGCGTGTTTCGTTCCTCCGGCAGTTGCCTTCTCAACTCTTGGCTCTTGTTTTTACGGCGAGCACAAGTAATATATATATATATATATATATATATAAAGATATACAATAAAGAAAAATAGAATGTCTAGCAACAATATATAAAGCTCTCGTGTAAATCAAGTCAAACAATTCGTGAACAAAATATTCCTCTACCACTCTGCGAACGACCACGTAAAATTTTGAGTTATTAATTGGAGAAGTAAATGATTGCGCATGATTATATATCACTCTTTAATTAATGACTCAGAATTATACATATTTGTTTGCGAAATGATAGACGACTTTTTTATTCACTTTGATCTAATCTACGAGCGCACGACGGCAGACATCATCACTACAGTTCATCTAATAGATCGCGCAAATTTATCCAATTCTTTAATTAATTCAAAATTTTACGCGGTTGCTCGCAAAGTAACAGAGGATTTCTTTGTTCAGTTCGACCTAATTGACATGCACACAAGAGCTTTATGTATTATCGTCAGACATCCTGAATATGTTGCAGAACTTTCGCGAACATGTGAAAATATTAGTTTAGTGTCTAGGTGAAAGAGTGGCTCTTGTTTTTCAGACAAATATGTTCAAATATTTTTTTCAAAGAACTTCGATATCTTCTAAAGTTTGCGGGAGTGTCCCGTCGATTGTCATATTTTTGACTGCCGAAATAGATCGAACTGCGTTTCTTATCCGCAAGCACAGAAATCTTACCTTCCCGAATGAACGCATAAATTGATAAACATCGAGAATACCGCATGAAATGCGGTAACGTGAGTCTAATCGCGGTGCCGATTGCTTTCTTACGTTACGCTTTCTTTCCACCGACAGTCGCTGGTTCCGGCACCGGAGGTCATCATCCCGGCACACCCGGCGGTGGCGCCGTGTTTCCGGGCGCCATTCAGGGCAGCATCGGCGACTTCTCCGGCACCGGTCTGGTTTTTCCGTGGGCGACGAATGCGCGTGGCAAGCCGCGCCGGGGGATGATGAGGCGAGCCGTTTTCTCGGACCTCCAGCGACGCGGCCTCGAGAAGAGGTTCCAACTGCAGAAGTACATCAGCAAGCCGGACCGTAAGAAGCTCGCCGAGAAGCTCGGCCTCAAGGACTCGCAGGTAAGTCGATCGTCGATGGATTTTCCAATCTTAACACTCTTGGCACTCGAAAAAATCGAGCTGTTATTCAACATGAATATCTATTAAATGATAAAAAAACGTTACATTAAATCGAGAAATATGCATTGATTTCTGATCTGGTAAACTCCAATATTTCCCTGCTTCTCTGGATCTAATTTTTTTTATTAATTAGATACGTTTGTACCAATTTTTTCTAATTTGTTATCAAGTCATCATCATACCTTTTAATTCGTTATCAAGAGGACATTTATTTTTTGCAGAGTGCTATGAGGATTAAGATTTGATTATTGTCTGATTCTTGATTAATTCTCGATTATCTTTTTACACCGGGGAGCTTGCTTATATTTTCAAGACTCAAGAAATGTTTCGAAGCTAATTTATCTCAAATATTTTAAACCTCCGGAATCTAAAATGAATAATATTTCAAAGATTCGACGAGTTCTAGCAATTTTAAACATTGCTGAGGTGCGTCGTCTCTCCGCGATCGTCCGTCTGCGACGCTTGAAAGTCCATGCAATACGCGAATCTATCCATCGTATCTGTCTTATCGCGAGATAATTGCACGATATAATTCTGCACACTCGGCGATATCGTCGATTAAATCCAGTCGGACAATCGCGGCGGGATACATCCTCTGTCTTACGCTCCGTGCCGACGCGGTTTTCCGAGTTCGCGGATCAATTGCGTATCAATTATAGCGCGTATCGAGCCGTATAATTCGATTCCTTGTGATCCAGAATCCTCGCTCTCGATAATCACATCAGGCATGTCATATGCAGGCAGATTTGCATACGCGATGATGGGCGGATGTGCTCGCGTTGTATTACAATCGAGAGGCTGCGCCGTGAGCGGATAGGGACCGGTGTACGGTGTTTAATCTCGTGCTTAATGATCTCCCCGGATGCAATAGCGGTTTAAGCCGGCGCGTAAAACGCGTTAATTCGAGGTCCGTAATTAAGCCCGATGAGGGCCCGCCGCAGTAGAAAAAGAAAAAAATTATCTCGGACGATGATCGTCGCGTTGTGATTGATCTCACTTTCCGCGCTCGCGTTGTTCTCTCCGCCATTTGCCAAGGACTCCGCGTTCGCGTCCGAAGAGTTTCCGCTTCTACCATTCACCATTGCACAGAAAAAAATATCGTTCTACCGCTGGAAAGCGATTATTTAGTTTACCTTTCGTCTTTGAAGTAATAGTTATCCTCTCTCCCTCTCTCTCTCTCTCTCTCCCTCTCTCGACGAAGAATATTTTCTCGATAATAGTCTTAAAACAGACTCATCAGAATTTTAAAACAGCTCAGCTATTATGTGCTCAACAGTAGAATTTATTCTCATCTCAAGGATATTATGAAACTTATATTCTGTATAGGGAGAGCAAACTGAATTCTTCCTTTTATTTAATATTCTTGTTTCCTTTTAATATCCTTCACTGAAGTACTAAGCTCGCTGGAATTCAGAACGTATTCCGAATAAATCGTAATGCGACTTTGTATCAATTATAATAAAACTACAATAGGTTTGTGCGGATATACAAACTTGTAAAATACTCGAGACAAGTAACATTCACTTGAAAAGATGCAGTACGCATTTTTTTGTCTACACACCGTCCGCCATTGCTAAGAGACTGTCGGTAGAATCAGACATCTCGAATGAGACCTCGCATCACGCATCACGCGCATTCATCCGCCGATTTTCTCACAATAACATCTCACTAATCACCGTGGTAGTTTACAAAATGGCAGAGGATTTTTCTATTTGATTTAACGAACCCTGCCTAAATGCGGCCATTTTCGGACACCTCAATCCAGCCATCCTGTACATAAACTCGCGGAGTGTTTCCCGCCAAGTCGAATCACTCGGACGTGGAGTCCATTAGAATTTTGCGAACAGCGAAATTCCCGAGGTGATTCTCGCGCGAGGATAATCGTGCTAGGTTCTCTCTCTCTCTCTCTCTCTCTCTCTCTCTCTCTCTCTCTCTCTCTCTCTCTCTCTCTCTCTCTCTCTCAATAACGAGCTGTGCACCATAATCGAGCAGTTACGTGCGTGCCGCGGCGGGAAAGCTCCGCAGAGAATATATATTGTGCTTAATGACCTTATTAGGGCACTAATTGTCGCTCTAACGAAGTACGAATCCCTCGTACTCGGCGCCGAAGTCGAGAATTTAGTTCCGTCGCGGAGAGTAGACGATGACGACGATGCCGACTCCATTCGGCGAATTGATAGAGATTAATGCTTGGTTTTGTCTTGGCCGCAAGAGAGAGAGAGAGAGAGAGAGAAAGAGAGAAAGAGAGAGAAGGAGAGAGAGCCAACCGTCTCTATTGCGCGCTAGGATACGCGTACAAACGAAATTACGTTCCATGTCTACGTTTAAGACTCGTATTAATAGTCGTTGCTTGAAACTTATCTTAGATGAGTTACTCAAATTTTAATTTTAATTTGAACTTAGATATGAATTTTTCTAGCTATATCGCGATTACAAATGTAATGTCGCATATATTATGCGATTGAAACTCAAATCTAACTCTGAGTTCAGGTCTGATTGACGTGCCCTTATGTAGGGCAAGTTTCAAGTGACGACTTGTTAAAAGGACAAGTAGGGAAAATCAGATCGAGTTGGTCTGAAAGCCATGTCAGCCATACATTTCCTTTATATATTCGTTACGAGGGGAACAATGGGAAGGAAATTGCGAGATGTTTTTTTTGGAGACGCCTTTCGAAACTATCTCTACACTATAAAAATAGATCCGTTCTAAACAGCTCTAGTCGTTAGTTAGACGAACTCAATTCCTGGATTATAATAGAGAACAGATCGTCTTGTATAATTCTTTGAGCGAAATTTTTCTCTTAATCTTTTATTAAAAAGGTTTAAAATTTGATTCAATATATTATATGCATATATTATGCAATGTATATTATGCAATTAAGTGAACCTTTCTTCCGATAGTTGAAAGAACATTTATCTATTCTCAGAACGAATTAATTGAAATGGGAGAACTGCGAACCTAACTAAGAAGATTAAGAACGCGTCGAATATACAATAGAAAAATTTATGTTCTGAGAATCGCTGGAAAACAAATTTTCCTACCCGACACGAGGTCGTTGGGAAATCATTGAGTAGAAAACAATGTTATATCCTTTCTACCGTCGACTATACGTGCGACATATGCCTGATTGCATATCACAAAGTACACCGATTTCGAGAATGATCGAGAAATCGTGGCATATTAAGTCGTTCGCTCGCTCGTAATCATAATCATAATAATCTGTAATCTATATATAGCCGCGCGTAATTGTTCTGACATGTTAATCGAGAATCCGACCGAGAGAGAGAGATAGATAAGTAAAAAGAGAGAGTAGGAGGGGAAGAAAGAGAGAGAGAGAGAGAGAGAGAGAGAGTCGCGCGCGACTTGGGTGTTTAAAACTACGAAGCGCGCTTAATTCGCGCGTACACACGCGACGTTTCGCGTTGAATGTTTCGCAGTAATATTAAATATTCGATATTCCCGTCGCAATTTAGCGGTGCGTGCAGTTATCCCGCGTTTGTAAAGACTGTCCTCGAGCATTACGTGCCGCGGTACCTGTTGCTGCTCGGGAAATAATAATTATAACCGTGACGGAGTCGCGCGCACGAAAAAAGACACGGTTTCTGTCAGGAAACTCGAAAATCCACCGATGCTCGAGTAACTCGCGCGCTTCGGAAATTTCTTCTCGCTCGTAACCTCGATTCTCGAATGGGAGGATGTCCTTCATCAAACGAAGCGTCTTCTACCGCGCAATTGTCAGCATTATTCGACTATTTAAGGACGATGCTCGTTTCGGAATATATAGTATGAATGTACAGCTATAACATTTCATTCACTTCAACTTCAAACGTACAGTTAATGACTATATTAGTGATAATTTTTAATATGATATTAATGAATATTACTGATTGTGTCAATGGACGCATGAAGGAGCACCAAACACAATTTGCAGAAATACTTCGTTCTAGTCCCTTATAGAAGCGAATTGATCTTCCTAATAACCTTCAGACGCCACAAACGTCGATTAATAGATCGCAGTGGATCACGCGATATTGCCGTGAAATAAACGAATCCTGCGTCGAAGACAATTCGGATTCGCAAAGTTATCGTCAATATCAGACCGGATCAGACGAGTCTGATCTGACGCTCTGAAAAGACCCGCCCGAGGACATTTCCGCGCCCGAGGTCGTCTCCGCGTCGACGACCATTGGTCTGTTCTTTTTAGCTGCACTACTGAACTGGTGCGATAAGTTAAAGTGAGAAAAAATATAGTTGTCTCATTCTAATCTTATTGCACTAGTTCCGCAGTGCAGCTGAAAAAAACGGACCACATGTTATTAGCCTATCTCCCCTAGAATACATCGTCCTTCAAAGCCGTCGAATTTCTTCATCCCCCCGTGTTAACAGCAAACACCTCGACGAGCCCCTCGTCCGCTCGTTCCACCGCGAGCGATTCACGCGTAATCGTATCGAATGAAAAAACGGTTCGATAGCGGGCAAACGGCGTACGCGCGCACGTTAACTCGTACGTCGCCCGGACGACGGCCCGAACGACCGAACTACGCTCATGAAATCAAATGAAACTAACTCACGCCGCCGTTCCGGGCACCGTTTAGTTTCATTAGCGTCGTCGCAGCCAAGCCAAGCCAGACCGGCCGGGCCGGGTTGGGCCCGGCCTGACTTGGCCTGACCTGGCCTGGCTTGGTCTACTGGTCGACGAGCACGACGAGGGTGGCGAGAGCACAGCGCGTCCGGACGGCCGTTAAACGTGTGCACACGTATAGCTATCGCGTGCAACTAATGAACTGGCATCGGCCGATTAACCGAAATCGTGTGGGTATTATGTGCTTAACTCACCCTCCCCCCGCCCATATTTCTCGCTGTCATTCTCTCTGTCTATCTCTCTGTGCATCTTTCGCCTCTCTCCTTGTCTCTTCGTGTGCACAGCAGCCTCGAGCAG